GTATTGACAAATTTAAAATTAAAAAATTTTCTTTTTAAAATAGTCATCAAATTATTCTTAGGTGGTTCCAAAGATTTTATAGTGAAAAGGAAAATAAAAGAAAAAAACTCCCAAGTAAATCTATTAGCTGAGAAAGCAGATCTACATTATGCTCCCGAAGGAGCATGGTATATATGCTTGCTGAAAAAATATTTATATCTTTCGTGCATTTGCTTCCTTGGGTAAACCTGGTCATGACTATTTTTCGGACAGTGAATTTTTGGGGAACATGGCCTCTTAACTTAGCACCCAGTCTAAAAAAAAGCATAAACTCTAAAATTGTAAGTAAAAAATCATGTTTTGAGATTGGACTAGCATCCAATATTTGAAGGGTCAAATTCTTGGTATATAGGAACTTAAAATTCATCTTAAAAATCTATTGAGATAGATCTTTTTAGTCAATTTTTTGATGACATAATCTCTAACATGAGATTACAAATATGGAAAAAATAAATTTATTTTAAAAATAAAAAACGATAATTTAATGAAAAAAATATTTGGGTTGTCAGTTTTAACAGTTTTTAGATGGACCACCCAATTGCATCCCTATATTTAATATGAATGCTTTATATCTTGGGAGATGTAAATGCATTTTTGCAGGTGTAAGCCCCTTCAAAGCACCCTCACCTTATTATAGAAAACTAAAACCCTAATTACATACTTGCCAATTAATTAACTACAATTAAACTTAATCACGTGCACATCCAGTATCGAATTTAGTGCCCCATTTTAAATGCCACTAAATTGTAAATCAAGCACCTCATTGAATATTTGAGAATCTTGGGCTTTCACATGCAATTTTAATTCAGAAGGGCGGGGGTAATTAGTTGCCTTGTGAAACCAAGTTTTGCAGATGTACGCACATTTTTACTAATCCCACACGAATCATTGGTGCAAATATTATCATGATCCCATTTTCCCACCTATGTTATTGTTTCGGACCATAGTTAGGAAGTAGGGAACAATAATATATCGATGGGCCAAAAGATTGGCAATAAATCATTTATAGTTGGAAAAATTGGAAGAAAAAAGGTCGTGGCAAAAATATGGACGATAAAAAATTATATAAGCTGAAAAATTATAAATATTTTGGTTTTGATTCAACAAAGTGCAATGAAAAAAACAAATTTGTATAAGTGGCTCAAATAAAATTACTATTTGCAGCTATTGTGGGGATACAATAAAATATGAAAATTTATGTAATGAGATCATTTACTTTAGTACAAGGTGGTCACAATTGATATTGACTATTAGATTGGAAATTGGGTGGCTACATCTATTCTATTCACCAACCTCAAAGTTCAATGCTGACTAAATCATTTTATCTTCTTAGTTGCAATGATACTTATGGTTAGAAGAAAAACAGATTATTCATTGGTTTACTCTTTCTTTAAATTTATAATTTTTTGGGGAAATGCAGCAGTTTTTGGAGTCTATATTTGCAATAATATTTCATACATTTTTTTTGCAATACAAATATTTTTAAGGGAATATGTTTTTCTAGGATACTTTGGTATGACTTTTGATGGAATTTATTGTTCAATCGAGAATCTTAATTCAATATGAATGTAGTAAGCTTCTTAGAACCATGATTCAAGGACTCAGAATAAACAAGTGATGATCAGCTTTATACTATTGAAGTAAGGTGCACCTCAAAAAACAAATAGAATAACATGTTCCATGTTTAAAACACTACAATTGATGCTCTCAACTTTGAGAAGTATGGATACAAAGAAAAAAGAATTCAAGTCCTAAACGTAGCGCATCATGTAACAAGTTAGATGACTATTTATTTTTAAGATTTGCATGTGCTTGTACACTAATTCAATCTATACAACTTTTAAAATTTGAAAATTTATAACTAGGGATAAAAATAGATTTCAAATACCAAAACTCACATCTCCAAGCAATTTTTAGAGGTTTGCTTCGATTGTACAACATAAGAAGGGCATCTTATATAAACCTCGTCCACAAATTGTATGGATGGATGTTATTGATACAAGAGTTTGAGATCTATTTTAGAGTCACAAACAATCATCTTCATGAAAAAAAAAAAAAGAAGTTAAAAGTAAATTGAGTTCTTAAATGACTACATCTCATATCTATAGTTGGATATTTTTGGGTTCTTAAACACCTACATATGAGTTCCCAAAAGTTGAAAGTCTATATGTAATTCACAATTAAGAATAAATTCAAACATGTATTCAATTTCGTTTTAGGTTGGTCGCTAAGTTAAGTAGGTTTGTCATTAAAAATACTTCTATAACTTTGAGCTTGATCGATGAAATAATGCAACCATCTAATTTCACATCCAGTGGTTAAGATTATTGTGACCTTCTCGTAACAACGGTAAATAGTATCATTGTAGACTTCCTCATATATATATATATATATATATATTAATGATCATATGAGACCCTCCCACATCCATGTGTGTAGGACCCCAAATAATCACCATTAAATTTGGTATAGATCTCTAGAAAAA